TCAAATAACTAATTAAAATTGATAGTAATCCTATTGCAAATTTTGGTGATAAATATTTTTCAAAAAATCGATTGGTATTAGATAATAATTATCTATTGATTAGTTAGATCTATAATCAGTAATATTAATTGTACTATCTTATTATAGAAGCTTTGATGCAAAAATACCAAAAAACCAGAATGATCAAAACCTATTTGAGAAGACCTAAGTAAGAAGGTAGTAGATACTTTCAATAGTGCTACAGAAAGGCTGAATTTGGAAATGATAGCTGAGATTGAAGAACTAAACAACAACAAAATCCTTAAGTAGAGGGATCTACCAACCCAATCACTAATTGAGAGAAAGCTAGTACACCAATTTAGTTAGCCAGCATGAGAAACTAGAGTGAGCATCTACTATGATTAGGATTTGGGAATTAGGTTCTATCTAATAAAAAAAGCTAAGTGATCTCTAGAGACTCGCCAGACCCAATTAGAGAAAAAAGATATATGCTATAAAATTATATACTACAATAAGACAGGGTATAAGGCATCTAGAGTCTAGCCATAGTCGAATCTTTCAGATCACAGGTTGGGAGTAAGAAAGTGGCCAATAAGCAAGAATAGAAAAAGAAAAACCTGAATATAAGTACTGGGATTGAAGTGAATTTTACAAGAGCATAGCAGTTCAATTGAGTTACACCAATTGCAAGTGGGAGTCTTAGCAACTGTGATAACTGGATCAGCCAGATACAGGATATAGAAGGCTCTAGTAGGTTTATCTCGAGAATAGCTATATGTTTGCTTAACAGAGTAATGCAAGCTAGTAATTAGTTAATGCAAACTCAGAATAAGTTATTGAAGTTCTAAGGCAGAATGCGCAATCTTTTGGAATAGGCCAGATCAGTGTTGCTCACTGAAACATTTCAGTGAGAATTACTGGAACTGGAAGATAACTGGACTTAACTGGATAGAATTGGAAGCATTATAGCTTCTAGTGATCGAATGTCACTGGACCATTCCAGTGAAGATTTTTATTACTGGAATGGAAGTTCCAGTGATTTCTAGTGACTTCTAGTAGTTTCTGATTGGCTGATTTGAATTAATCGCTGGGGATAGTAAGCAAAGATTAAACGGCACAAAATTTAAGCTCCAGATATCTACTTATTTATACAAACGTTGCCAGATTATAAACAGGATCATTTCTGATAACCAGAATAATTTAGATAATCTGGCATAGATTGTGCGATAATGTTAAAGACTTTGTTGATGAATTTTACAATGTTATTGGTATATAAAAAATACTGATTATATTATCGTAATGAGATACATGAACAAAGAAAAAATTATAATTTTAAAATTTTGAAGCAGTTTCAGAAGATAAGTTAAAAAGTAAACTGAATATATTGCATTGAATTGCTTTGGAAGCTCAGTTGCCAACTAACTAATTTGATTGGCCAATAATCACATTTAGATTAGCCAATCAGGTGAATACGTTCCAGTAAAAAAATCGTTCCAGTGAGATTTCTCACTGGAACCACTGGAACATTGGAAAAATCTGAACATCTAGTAGGATTCCAGTCTTCCAGTAACAACACTGGAATAGGCCAGATGGCAGTTCCTGGGTTAGTATAATATGCTAAAAATGATTAGAATTAGAAAGTTTAAATAGATAACTCTCTAGTTGGGTTATAAATACGGCATCTAGTATTGAACCTGCAGGTAGACTACTTAAATAGACACTCAAAAGATGCACATGTTGCCAGTTGTATCTTTATTGTAACTGTAATAGTAAATGATTACTAATAAAGAGTCCCTATGGCCAAAGAGGTCATCTTAATACTGAAAAAAAATAAATAAATATATTAGTTATTTTTAATAAATTGTTACCTCCACATATACTTCATAAAATAAGTATTATATAAGTCTTTAACTGTTCTATAACATAAAAGAAATAACTTTACTGCATGGCAGATTAATTCAATTGTATTTATGTAAACTTCTGTTTCATAATTTTTAAAATTTTCTAAATAGTTGCCTGTTCTATACTTCTATCTAGGCTTTTTAAATTTTTTTATCTATTAAGCTACCCAACAATTACTATAGATTGAAGTTTATTTTTTTATATATTTCTTTAAAATTTTTATCAATGTTTCTTTTGTATAATTAGGAACATATACCAAAAATATTTTGTTTGATTCTCTCTTAACATTTCCAAAAACCCAATGCCCTTTTTCTCTTTTTTATTATTATACTTATATTTACTAAACTGACTTTTATCAATTTCTATAATTTTTCCTTTACCTCTGATTTTTTTATACACCTAATTCATTAGTATGGTACAACATACTTCATGACAAAAGTTATACCAATTGACTATAGTTTGAGCACTAAGACCAGTTTCACATATGGCAAATTTTTGAGGTAATTTATATAATCAACAAAATATAATTTTAACAATTTAGTCAAGTGAAAGTTTGAATTTTCAAGCCATATTTCTGATTATAAAAGATTTATATGCCCATATACTGTTCTTGAAATGCAGATCTATTTATAACTATCTTTACAGGAATGGTCATTTGTCTTATATATTGGGCTTTGACATTCAGAGCATAGATATACGTGAGAAAGAATGCTAAGACCTTCAAAGAAAATTACAGTCTGGTCTGTGGTTTAAGTATTATGATAGATATCATAGTAGGTTTTTACTAATATAAGTGAAGAAAAAACATTTCTTCACTTTCTGCCATTTTTTTAATTTAGATTTGAATGATTTAAAAAAATATGAAAGCTGATGCTAATTTGAAGATGATAGCTATCTCTTTATATATTTAGATAAATTAACAAAAAAGACATCTGGAAGCATTGACATACAATAGAATGTTTTTTTTTAATATCTTTACAAATTTGTTATATATTTGAATTAATCAAATTAATTTAATTTTTAATGTTTAAAACTAGTGGTGTGTAAAATTGTTCCAATGATATTATAGCTTAAGTTGTAACATCATAGGACAATTCTACCGCATCACTACTTAGAACCAAATCAAATATTAAAAAATTAAAGAGATTCATGAAAATAAATTAATAATTCACGATTGATTGCATTACATGCAATGGAAGTATATATATTTTTTTATATATTGCGAATTCGTTATGCGTTTGAATTAATCAAATTTTTAATGCTTATAACAAGTGATGTGTAAAATTGTCCCAATGATGTTACAGTTTAAACCATAATATCATTGGGACAATTCTACCGCATCACTACTTAGAACAAATCGAATATTAAAAAATTATAGAGATTCATGAAAATGATTTAATAACTCTCAGTTGATTGCATTAACATGCAATGGAAGTTTTTTTTTTTTTTTACCTTTACGAATTTGTTATGCATTTGTCAAATTAATTTAATTTTTAATGCTTAGAACTAGGCTTAAGCCGTAACATCGTTGGGAAGGAGATTCATGAGAATGATTGCATTATGCGCATAAGTGCGGCATCGATTTCATTAATTTTTAATTTATTATTCATGATACAGTATTATATTTAAATAAAAAAATCAGTTATATTATTTTATGCTAATTGATTTAACGCGTTATGTGCATCGGGTTCAATAATTGAATTTAATATTCGTGATATTATATTTAAAAATAAATAAAATTCAGTGATTATTTATACTGTAAATTTATTTACTTCATATCAAATTATATATTGTTAATCGCATTACTGCATTATGTGCATAAGCGAGACATCGATTCGATAATCTTTTAATTTATTATTCGTAATATTATATTATATATCAGAATATTAACCGTTAATTTATTTACAGTATTTTATATATGCATAGTGCGCAGCACCAATTTCAATAATTTTTGAATTTATTCATATTCGTGATGTTATTTAAAAATAAATTATTTATTTGTTTATAGCATATATTATACGGGTGATAATTTACTATTTATATATACCTGCAGCTAATAAAATACTAACCCTACCCTATGTGATATTGCTTAGGCTGTCGAAAAAATGAGAAAAAAAAGCCAATTGTCTTTTTTTTTTTTTTCATAATCCTGGAATTATCCGGTTAGGCTGATGGAGAATATCAACTGATTTCATGTTATGCAAAGCGAAAAAAAATTAATCAGTAAATTAAAAAAAAAAATCCGACTGACCGACCGAAATTTTGAAAAACATGTAATGCAAAACGAAAAATCAACGTTGTGTGGCCTAACCACTAGATTCAAGAAATTTTCTGAACCTCTTCTTATGTGTAATAACATACCACGAAGAAATTTACTGCAAATAGAGTAACTTTATTAATACTTTTGTTAAATTAACCCAATTCAATTAAGAACGTTCTAATAGAAATGCCTTTAAACATTTGCAACCATTTTACCTTAATCTGCGAATTACCTACGGTGTATAGCGTGCATAGTTATACCGAATGTTTCATAAGCCCTATACCCGGACACTTGAAGAACAAGGAACCAAGTGATAATCACATCCGTGAAATCATGTAATTACGTCATTTGTTTACTAGCACTAAACAAATTAGCCTAAACTAACCTATCACCTAACCCTAACACTAACCCTAACGTAAGCCGAACACTTAATTATGTGATGTGATTATCATGAAGATATCACTGGGTTCCTTGATCTTCAATCTTCCCTATACCCAGGCCCTTTTTTTAAGCGATCCCATACATATGGATTCACTTAAAAAAAGGGTCTGTGAATAGAGACTTAAGTAAGGAGCTTTTGCACAGTTAGTAAAACTTTAAAAAGTACTGTAATACAGTATAAAAAACAAAATTACGTAATTAGCTGTTAGGGATTGTCACCTGACATTTGTTTTTATTTTTCCGACCAATCAAAATTAATATGAGATTATATCGAGGGGACAATCCGTGATAATCCGTGTTCTTGAAACTTCCCGCGATTGTTTTATTTTTACCGCAATAAGTTTTTTTTCAGATTCTGATAACAATCTGGTTCCAAAGTTTGTATAACGATTGTTAATCAGAATACGTCTGCATAAGTTGCAATCACTGTCGGACGGTGTGTTCGATTATATTGTGGGTTCGTCTGACAACTATCCCCAGCTTTAGGCTGATGGTAGCTATACAATCTGCAGTTCTAATTCTGTCGTGCTTCCGGTGTAGAACATGATCTACTACTTTAGCGTCTAGTAGGTGTGATTCGAGATTGTTCATTAACCAGCTCTTATTTGCTAAGATCCTTTCTTGAGGCTTATGCCTTATTGGTATTAAGAGTCATGCTCCCAATATATGTATCTTAGTCGACCTTTGTTATAATGTCACTGATGCATTTATGGGATGTGACCATCTGCCAATCTTCTGAGTGAATGGTTGCTGCATCCCTATGGCCATAATTTGCCATGTCACCTGCCTGAAAACTATGGCTATAATCCTCAGTAGGCACTTTGACTTGTGGTTGCATTGCTATTGGGCTTAATGGATATTATGCCATGTCCTGGAGTCAGGGTTGGCAATCGAGTTCAATGGAGCCAATGGAGCTGCGAATGGAGCCAATGGAGCTCTGAATGGAGCCAATGGATACTAGTTTTTTGAACTCCATTCACATAACCATTTAACTCCATTGGCTCCATTTCCAACCCTGACTGGAGTGTATGTTGGATCTGTCTTGCATATTAAATATGCTTTTAATGCCTTAATCGGATATAGGCCCCTTCTTTTTTTTTTTTTTTTGAGTTTATTATTGATATTAGATACTCTGTCGGATTATATATTTTTTTTTGGTTCTGGTAATAAATTTGATGAAAAGGTGTTGTTACCCATTTGTTAAATTTTAAGACTCATGTTGGGGGATTTTTTTTTTTGAATCGGATGGAAGCTCGCTCAGTCTGCAGCTGTTGAATTCTATCAGCATAAACTGATTCTTGACTCCAGGTTCTTTATGTATCTCAGATAAGTTCTATATTCTATAAGATTTGTTTGAGGAAACTTCACCATGTATAACATAATAGATTATTGCTCTTATTTGAGACCACCCACAACAAAAGGAGGGGATGGGCAAAAAATGGATGTTTTTAATTTATATAATTTTATTCTAATCAATCTAATTCGTCAAGATTTTGAATTTTTTTAAAAAAGTTTTTTTTGGCCCATCCCCTTCTTTTGCTGTGGGGGCCCTATTTTTCAAATTATGCATTATTATGCTTCTGAGTATTAAATCACTTTGAATTCCTTCAGTTCGAATGCTACTGAAGTTTGGCCTAGAAATTTACTTGAGCTATTCTGTGTGACTTAGTTGATTGATTTAACATTTAGACTTGAGTGAAAGAGGTTACTTCAGTGAGCACATTTATCTCATATGTCATAGCTCAATAAGTGCTGAATACTAACACTTATAAATTGTTTTCAAAATATATACGCATGGATTTGTGCGATTTTTTTTCATCCTAAGATAGGTCGAACTACGTTGATTTAGTGTCAAGTGATTCATTTAAATCTGCATGATTCATCATATTTATTCATCTTATGAAAAGTTACTTCATGTTTTTTAATGCTCATATACCTGTTAGTCTGATTCTAGTAGGGTCGTACCCGGTTAACCTTTTACCCGAAAGGTTATAACCTTTAATAAAATCTAATAACCGGTTTTATATCCTATTGAGTAAAAAGTTAACGGTTATATCCTAGGTTATATTCGGGTAAGAAGAAATATTCCATATCAATATACTAGTGTCTTCTACTATGCTTCTGACAATGAACTCTGTCATGTTCTAATAATTTATTAACATTTTGCATGATTTATATAACCACTGAAACTCATTCTATCATGACTAGCGATGTTAACTAAACGTTTTATTGTCACTATGCTTTGGACTTTATTACATGATAAACTTGGTTTAACATATATCGATATCATAGTCAATAATTTATAAATACAGTATAAACATTTATCAAAATTTTTAAACAAAGCAACTATAAAACACATTAGGACGTAAACGATATACGTACCAGTTAAAATTAATGATCTACGTAATGTCAGATTTTTATTAGGATTAAATTGGACGCGATGTAAGGATAAGTATCAATGATGCGGATATTAAACAACTTATAAATTATGATAATGATATTTTACCCTATTTATCTTAAGTTATCTTTTAGGTTAACCGGATATCTTTATTATTTATCAGTTGATCAATTTTATCATCCGGTTATCCGGGTAACCTGACGGTTAACCTGTTACAATACCCTAGGGCACGACCACCAGATTCTAGTGCCTTATCTACACCTGTAAGTGACTCTCTACAACTGTTCCTCATGTGATCAGCTTTATCACATTGAATTAACGTCCATGCATTATCTGACTTGATCCTACTCTGGCTAGACCGCGTAATTTAATTTTTTGATTTTTTTTTTATCGTTACACCTGATATTTAATTTGTTTGGCCAGTCAAGCTAGTTGCTTAGCATATGGTGTTTAGCCCGATCTTCTATAACTAAATCCACTTGTTTAGCACCTTTCACAAAGACTGGTGTATCTCTTAAAATACTTCCATAGTATTTATAAACAAGAACTTTTTATTATTCAAAATGTGTCTTTAGCAAAACGTATATCAAGCTTCTCTTAATTCACCGGTACGCTATGACACTAGTTAAAATTTTTTGGGTGGTAATTTGATATACTATACACGTATTTATTCCTTATCACGTTCCAACGATTTATTTAATTCACAAGTGATTTAGGTTGTTCTACGAATTTTAATGTCTGTGCTTTATTTGGTTTGATACTAGTGATTTATTTAATCTGTCAGGCGACTCTTTCTATCGTTCGTCATGCGATAAGTCTTCCGCATTGACTTAACATATATGCAGTGTCTGACTCGATTTCTAATGACTTGTTTAAATCTGTAGTTGTTCTTCCCATTTATTCGTCATCCAATAAGCTGTACCGCATCGCATTGGCTTAATATCCCTGCATCATTTGGTTTAATTGTAATGATTATTTAAATATGCAAGTGACTCTTCGTGTTTTTTCATCTGTCATATTCGCTAGCATCTTCGATTCAATTTTGGTGATCTATTTAATTCTGTAAGTGGCTCTTATATTTATTTATTGTGTGATAAGTTTCACCATAATCACTTAATGTTTGTGTATCATCTTGTTCTGCAAGTGATTTTCCATGTCTGTTCGCCAATTGATAAATTACTCTATGACAACTTAATGTAAACGTATCATTTTTTAATGATTTGCCTAAATCTGTAGGTGATTCGTTATCTATTCATCATGCAATCAATTACACTATGTCGAACTAATGCCTGTGCATTTCTGCCTCGATTTCTGATAACTTATTTAGAACTGTAAACAACTTCTTATATTGCTCATCATGTTTCACGAGATCCTAATTCCCACGCATTATTGCGTTCGATTTCGTTAATTCAATTTCGTTGATTCTTCATTTACTCATCACACAATAGGTTCCGTGACCATTTAATATGGATGCGGTATTAGGTTCAATTTCAATGACTTATTCCATACTAGAAAACATATGAAACAATTATCACATCAATGAACAACCATAAAAGGCAGATAGTAATTAAGAAAATTTATGGACCATAAAGTCATCTGATCTCGCAATAATGATCGCCTTGTCACTTCGTAAGGCCGGACCAATTCGGTGGTTTACATTATCCCCCTTTCTCTCTCTTAGTAAAAAAAAATTTTGGGATATATATATAATTTTGGCCGGAGAACATAATGCCGGGCAAAATTAAGATTAGGATCCGAAAAATTTCGAAGAGATAATGAACGAACATAAAAGTCCAGGAGCGACCGTTCTAGTTACACAAATTATGAAAATCTCCGAAGAGGTGATAACCAATCAAAATCGTGGATTTTTGAAATAAAAAAATCGTAAAAATTGTAAAAAAATATGTTGAAAACGAAGTGAAATAAAATTAATTAAAGACTATACATTAGAGTTCATAATAAATGCCCTAAACCCGGTCGCAGTAGACAAGAATTTTTATTTATTTACTAATTAATTCATCTATTTACCATA